ATGACACAAGAATTGAGTTGTTTGAGTAGAAATCTATTGGAAAATTGGGAAATTAAATTAAAATCAGGATATAACAATATTTACACGTAAAGGTTAATAAAATTTGTCAATTATTACCAGATGCAATATTGACATGGATTAAGCATACATTCATGCATGCTGCAATCCCAGGAAATGCAAGGCTAAATTTCATTTGGTCTAATTAATTTACTAAGTATAATACCAACAATTTAATTATACTAATCATTAACGATTGCGTTCAAATAAACAGAAAATAAAATAGCAAAATTGTTTTTATAATCACTTAAATAAGAGATACCACGACTAACCCTTTAGAGAAATTAAATTAATGATCTACAAATGTATAGCAACTGTTCAAGTAGGATTTTGCTGGTCGTTATACTGCGGTCTGCCGGCCAGTTCGAGTAAATACCTATCCGGATGGTCCAGCCAATCAGCTGCGCTTAATTTAACGTTACGTTGTCTTTCAGCTTCCTTTATTTCCCACTTTTTTATCTCCAACTGAACTTCGCGACTGGTAGAATCACCGCATCCCCACACTTCTATGCATTTAAGTTCGTAAGGTACTTTGTGGTATTCCAGCTGAAGAAAAAAGATTAGTTGCTACTTCGAACGGTTAAAAAAACAAAGCACATTGATCTGATATATACATGAAAATTAGTTGTGTTCTGTAGCCCTTGGTGCCCGGACTCCCCCCCCCCCAGCTTCTTTACATCTAATTGAAAAGATTGCATCAATAATTCTAGTATACACTTGTGTCTCGAGCGCGCCCCGTGCGGAGCCACGAACAGAGCCGAAGAGCGCCGATCATACATCATACATATTGTCGTTTTTATTGTATTACTTTATCGACTTCGAACACCAATAAAAATGTTTTGTTGTTAAATTTTTGATAAAACTTTTACATTAAATAAAATTTTGAGTAGGCATTTAAAGTCTGCTCACAACAGTGCTGATAATACAAGAACATACTCGTGCAGTTCTTGTGATTTTTCGACATCGCGCGCGGATACCTTGAAAAAGCATGTTTCGATAATGCATCCTCCGTCGGCCGCCGTGTCTTTTTTCATGTACTTCGTGTAAGGAGATGATCCAACATTATCAATCGCAACATAATATTGTTATTGAAGAGGAGTATTTTTTATTTGAAAATAACAAGAAATTTCAAGAGTGGAAAGAGATCGAGAGAAAGGATCAGAACCAGTTCAAGGTCGCACGAGGAAAGAAAACTACTGAAGATGGTGAGGTAAGTGTTTACCAACATTTTCTTGCTTCCGCGATGGGTTTTTCAAGTCCAAAGGGAGTGGTGAACGTCATGAAAAGATTTTAGGAAGCAATACAATAAACGGTTACTGCCGTACTACTAGTATACACGTGGTTGGCTCCATAATGAACTGTTCTACGCGACAAGTCACTACATGTTATGTGGCATCGAATAGTACGTTTAAGATGTGTTTCATATATAAACATGCATCGATATGAAACGCGCAGGTTTAGTTTGGAGTACAACAAGAGTTTTTTTAATTTTGTCGACAACGAAGTACTGAAACATTAAAAAATTTTTGTTTAAAGAAGACTTAACCAACCTCTTTTCATAATTATAAAACACATCTATTTCGGTTTTCTCTCCTTTTCCTCTCAAAAACCATACTAGTTGCTATTGGGCTACCTTTTCTTTACTTATCATGAGAAAACAATTCATAGATGTGAGTCGGAAAATTATGGGTTTGGTTTTCAAATTGGGTTTAGGTATCGAAAATACGAAAGCATTAACTAAAATTTCGATATCTACCCTGATAAATCTAAAGTAATAGGCTCGTGTTAGAGTATACTTCATTCATATCAATCAGTAGGGATTGTGGAAGACAAATTTTCAAAACAACCAAAACATCACATCTACTTGATGAAAAGTGACTCCATTTTACACAAAACATCGACTTGAAGACAAAGACGTATCTACAAGGTATAAGAAGATAAAACTATCACTTGGTGGTAAAATACCAAATCAACTTTTTGAAACGATATTCATTTAACACATTTTTGATCACATTACCAAGGAAACTGTATGATATGCATCACTAGTAGTTATAAAGAGTTGGCAGTTAAGGCTACATACTAAACTACAAATTCAAAATGGATGAGATGAAATCTCTAGATTAGAATCACTGACGTTTGATGTTGCAGACATGTGGAAGAAGCCTTTTAACTCTTTCAGGGGTGGCAGTACAAAAAATGTACCACCAAAAAATTTGAATCTTGCGTACGGTGATACTCTAATTCTACTACATATTCAATGACTATCTGCTGTTGTGCGCAGTGGTGTATTTGCTGAACCACCGAATACAACTCTTCTCTGTACTGTATCCTGTTAGGTACACAAGGCTTTATCGATTTTATTTCTTAACTTTAATACCAGTTGAACAAAAGTGCGCGAGTCTTGATTTTGATGTTACCTGCGTCATGTTTAATTTGTTTATTTGTTTGCAAGTTATTTTAAGTAAACTTTTTTGTATAGTGCCAAATTTCCAATCCAAATACTAGTAAAAGTTGCTTTTTGTATGTAGCAATTTAAAAATTTATATTTTTATAGTAATTATTCTTATATACGTGACAGTACCAAATTTATACCACCGCCCTCATTGGTGTCATTATCTTAAGAGATTTATTCATCATGCTTACTCAAAAAGACGTACATTTT